AAATTATATTTCAAAAGCAAATGACTTAATAATTGATTTAAAAATATTAAAGTTTTATAAAACAAATTCGTAAAAACTATAAAATTGTTGATACGATTGAAGAAAACAAAGCAAAAACTTATACTCTCTCTCTCTGCTGAACATTCAGTTATATATCACATGAGAGAATAGGCGTCCGAACAGATAATTACCACTAGTTTTTGATGCCTTCAACGCATCACTGGATCACATCATCGCTATTACTAATAATAATCATTCATTCACTGATCGCTACAAAAAGGCATTTTTATATCATATATTGAATTAGATATGAAAAAATTATATTTGATTTTTAAATACTATTTTATTGATTCCAATCGTTTTGTATCTATTATTAGACAATATGTGTGGTCACGACTGATATCATTGGAGGAAATAGAGTATAAGTTTTTGCTTTGTTTTCTTCAATCGTATCAACAATTTTATAGTTTTTACGAATTTGTTTTATAAAACTTTAATATTTTTAAATCAATTATTAAGTCATTTGCTTTTGAAATATAATTTGTAGTTATATTAAAAGAATTAAATACTTTTATAAATAAATATTTTGGAAACAAAATCACTAATGGTTTTTAAAATATGTAATTAATTTATGTTTACATTCAAAATAACAACAAATCTCTTATTATCAGAATCGTACAACAATTTTATACAAAACAAAATTATATAAATTAAGCTTATTTTGACAATTTTAAGATTGCTATCAATTTTTTCAAAATTTAATTTTAAGTTTAGTTTTGAATGAAATTATTATTTCGTTATAAAATCAGACTTTCATATAATCTTTTCCTATAAGATTAAATGCATTCAAAAAGCCTTTGTTTTATTCTAATTCATATTTTTGTTTTAAATTACATAACAATCTAATGATGTTTTTCATCAAAAGACTGTTGAAACGATTGCAAACATTTTGAAAGAGCATTAAACACAAAACTATTTCTTTTGTGGTGAGAAATGATAACATTTTTCATCAATCCATTGAACTCTTGTCTGTGCTTTTGTTTGACAACACTTTTGGAGAGAAACAAAAACTTTTCATTCATGTAATCATTACTACGAAGAATACAATCCAATTGTCTCAACGACTCTATAAGACACAGACTGTCGATATGTCGGGACTTCAGTTCACTTTCAGTCCATTGGATTTCATTCATTATTCCGACAATAATATCGACTCGAATGCGAACCTCATTCCAGAAGTTTAGGAAACTCGCGGCTCTCTTCACGTCTTTCTTTGCGTTTAACATATCGTCCAAACAAAACACTGAACGCAATGTCCAACGGATTTCACTCATAATCAATGGCTTTTCATTCACCCATTCCTTGAAATCTGCGTTCAAAAACCTTTTCTCCAATTCTTGTCTTAATTTCTTTAATTTTACGGAATTGTCGGCAATTTTGAGGCGAATTAGGATTTTGACGATCAGAGCAATCGTTAGGACTATTAGCCAAAGAATCGCTAATATTGTCAGAAGTATTACCATAGTTAATGATAATGTCTTAAAATGTATTGAATCGCTAACTTTGAACACTAATAGACTGATTGACATCAAAGCCAACCAAAACACCACCACAAGTGTATCATAAGCTAAAGAATAAAACTTTTTTAATGATAGTTTCATTTCTAAAATTGATATCAAATATTAGTAAAGTATCGGTTTGTTATCACATTTGCCTAAATTACAAAAGTTTGTTCAAAAATGTATTTATGGTTTAATCAATACTTGAATTTTTAATAGCGTTCACAACTCGCGCTACAAAATACAAACGGTTTAAACAATAAAATTCTTGATTTCTTTGATTAAACATTATTATTCAGAATTACAACAGAAAGTCAGTTAGAATTGGATTAATTTGTGCAAAGATTTTACAAATAATATTGAATTAAATATCAATTGTGTCTCTTCTTTGTTTGTCTGTTGAACACAATCCCAAATCTATGGCACAAACCAAAGCGAATCCCCAGTCGGGCACTACTGTTATGGCCGCACAGATGAGTCCGTATCCCATGAATATGATGTGCACACACTGTGGGACACAAGTGGTCACTCAAACTGTGCCGACACCGGGAGTACTTGTGTGGTCTCTGTCTGTGCCTCTTTGTATTTGCTGGATCTGCTGCTGTTGTCTCATCCCGTGGTTTGTCTACGAGTGTCACGACATTGAACACCGCTGTCCTCATTGTCGCACACATTTGGTGTACTTGTGTGGTCTCTGTCTGTGCCTCTTTGTATTTGCTGGATCTGCTGCTGTTGTCTCATCCCGTGGTTTGTCTACGAGTGTCACGACATTGAACACCGCTGTCCTCATTGTCGCACACATTTGGCCACTTATCGCCGGTGTTGTCACTAAACCCATGGTTTCCCTCTCTTTCAATCCATTCTCAACATTATATCTTCAATCTATTCTTCAATCTATTCTTCAATCAATTGTCTTATCTTTATGTGTCTTTAAAAAATTTCAAATTCAAATTTTATTCAAATATTGATTTCTAAATAAATAATTTAATTACTTATTAATTGTAATCAATTCTGTGCTTTAAATGCTTCTTTAAATGTTATATTTTATAAAAATGACTTTTCTTTTCTTATATCTTAATTGCATTCAAAATAATTTGTGAAAAATAATTGCGTTTAAAAACATTGCAAATAATGTCAAAACAAGATATTTATCATTCATTGGCTTTTCTTAATTGTTAGAATTTATTTTTTTAAATATTTTCCGTTGAATTCAACTTTATTTGAATTTGATTTCAACCATATTTTGTAAAACACTTTAACGTATATTTTAAAGACATTTAAGTGTTGTATAGATTTCTTTGAATAAATCCCAAACAATTGTCATTTAATATAATTCAATGGAATCCAAACCCATATCAATGACACCAAACGAATCCAAAATTAAAGAAACGACTAAAAGCTCTGTTGAAAACAAGGACTCAAAAACCAAAGAAGAGGACAATCAAAAGAAGTCGGCGGAAGTGATGGGAAGCAAAGATCCGCTTCAGGACGAGGAAAGACTAAAGCTTCTCAAAAGAATTATCAGTCATTTATGTCTATTAGTGTTGATTCTGGCCATAAACCAGATTATTCTGGGTTTGTGTGCCTATGCTTTCTATGCGGGGAAAACACATTTAGTTATCTTCGGTGGACTCGCTATTATGCAACTAATATCGGCGCCGATTGGCTGGTATGCCATCAAATGTGGAAATCGTGTCCTATTCCTCATCTGCTCTATCATTAATATCGTTTGGATTTTCTCAGCAATTATTTGTCTCTTGTATTACTGGCTCTTCAATCGGACGGAACAATTCAATCATGAGATCGCTCTACACGTCGGTGCAGTCATATTCCTCACGGCCTCCATATTACTGGCCATCTGTTGCATACTTATGATGAAACAGATAGATATGATTGCCATCACTTACAAAGAGCCGAAAGTTGTTGTCGTCACCGACGGAAAAGCCAGCGACAAAATGGACAAAAAATAACACTTATTTCAAAAACATTTTTAAAACACATTATTCTTCTTATAATTATACTGTATATGTATTCATAGAATTGTTAGACAAAATTAATTCTTATTCTTTGTAAATATTTCATTAAACAGTTTAATAAAATACAGAACTTTTTGTAATTTTAAAAATCAATTCTAACATCAGTTCTAAACAGTTGTGTTGCACAATAATTATTCAGATAATTTGTGAATTCATTGACTAAAAAGGATTATATATTTTGATCAAAGATTTAAGAGATTACGTGTAGTCAAGAATCAGTCAATTGAATTCAAATTCTGTCAAAATAAAGTTATGTCTTATTATATGGTATTGTTTTTCGTGCTATTATTTTAAACAATTATTTGTAATGTAAGTTGTAAAAGCACTTTTGTTTGCAATTCTCTTAATTTCAACACATATTTCACACTTAATTATAAAAATAAACCGATTCTTTATTTCATTAGTGAATTTCAATTCAAAACTTCGCTTCAATTGAAAGGTAAGGAATAAAAAACTTTGAAACTTTTGAAATGAATGGCAAAATAATGGCAACATTTGTGTCGCTCTCTATATATCCTAAATCTTGTCATTAAATTGTTGTCTGCCTTTGCATTAGAGGTGCTCTAAAAGCCTAAATCCCAACCGCTTTACCCGTACTTTCATTCAATACAAATATAATTTAACTGACATTTAGTTCATATTTTCCGCAATTAATTCATACATTAATTTATAAATACTGTTAAAGAGATCTCAAAAAGTATAAATTTATTAATTTTAAAATAATTCAATTAGTAATAAATAAAACGATTTAATAGTTTACAAGAAATATTAGTAATAAGTAGTGATTAATGCCTTTAAAAGCCATGAAGTGATGAAAAGTGAGGTTAGGTTTGGGTGAGTAGTGAAGGCCTGGAGTGGACTCTATTTCATAGCATTTCAATCAAAAGTGTTTTGTTTTGAAATATAAGTTGAAATTCATTGCAAAATGAGTTATAATATTTAATGATTTAATTCACGACTCGTTTTATATTATTTAAAATCCATTTAAAAGTCATTCACTGTTTTAACCGTTAATTTAATTACCATTTGGTTTGAAGAATCAATTTGTGTGACAAAAACACAAACTCATCGCTCATTGAATCCACGATTTGGTGACACAAATGACACATCCGTTTGGACCCAATCATCGCATACAGACATTGGATGTGATGACCAAACAGACCACTGAAGAAGACATGAACCACAACGAGACACAAATGAGCGAAGATATGACCACAAGTGGTGATCCAAATCTCAATTCAGACAATTCATCCAATTTTGTGAGTTTTTGGATCAATTGATTTCATGAATCCATTACTAATGGTATTATTCCTCCACTGATGACAGGAATGGGAGTATTCAATGAGAAGACAAATGCAACAAATCATACCTCATCTATGGTTAGGTCCGTATGCGTCCGCTTTGAAGGCCAGGGTATGTATTGTTGTGGTTATCATTGCAGTCACTGTTTGTCCAAAGAGTGACCAAATGTTGTGTTTGAATGTGTTGTCTACAGGAGGAAGACTTGTGTCGTGTGGGTATCACTCATATCATATGCGTTCGCCAAGAGATTGAGTCCCATTGGATTCGTCCCAACTTTCCTAACCGTCATTACCTGACGCTTGACATCGCAGACACTCCCACACAGAACATCATTCATCACTTCCCAGAGGTTTGTCACCAATTACTGATCCAATTGCTCCGCAAAAATACGTAATAATCTTTCGTGTAATTGAATTAAAGGTTACAAAATTCATTGACGACTGTTTGAGACAAAACGGATCCGTTTTAGTCCACGGAAACGCCGGTATCTCCAGAAGTGCCGCTCTTGTGATCGCATATGTTATGGAAAAACAAAATTTGGTAATCATTTGGATTTGACTTACGATTAATTATAAACTAATCAAATATTTGATTGATTTGTCTGCAAGACTGCGAACCAAGCGATTCGTGTCGTTCAGAGCAAACGGTTCTGCATTTTCCCAAATGAAGGCTTTCGACAACAACTTCAAGAATACGAACCCATTCTTCAGGCCCGAGGAATACCGCTCTCTTCTGAAGGTATAACTCATAGAAGAAGCGATTGTTTTGTTTGAAACTAATTGATTGAATCACTTATCGACAGGAGGTATGAAGAGACCGCTCAGCGATGAAGACTCGGAAAACATGGACACAAATCAAATACCGTTCAATTCAATGGACTCTTGAATTCACATCCCATTTAAAAACGTGAATTGCATTCAAATTTGTATTATTTGTAAAAAAATTTGGTGAAAACCACAAAAAGTTAATTTAAAATAAATCAAATAAAAATTGTCAAACATTTAATTTAATGTTTACGAACTGTTCGTAATTTAATTCATCACCAAATGCTAAGTCTTATTATAATTATAATAATTAAAATGAATTAATAATTGAATTGACATTTTGTACGAAAAGTTTGCTTTCGATATATGAAGTCTTAAAAGAAAGGGTGGAATAAAATCGTAAAAATATGGAAAAACATTGTATTTGTTATGTTTTATTGTATTTTTTGTTTGTGTTTGTCGTTTGTGTGCAAAACCTTTAAAAGGGATAAATAGTTTGTTTTCTTTAATGAAAAGCATAGACAAGGAATTGTTGGATAAAATGCGTTCATTAGTAACCATTATGTGTTACTAACGACTAAAACATAGACTTATATTTTGAGATACAATGAATTGATTTAAACTGAAAAGAATAGCAAAAAATGATTTCATTATTATATCAATCAATGAATGATAGGATGAAGAGTTCTCTGAAGAGTCGAAAGTATCGTGTTTTTTGTCCCCAAAAAATATTTCACACTTTTTTGGCCAAATTCTTGTTTCGCACAAACCCTTTGGCCTCCTTTACAAGACTGTCCACGTCTTCGCCATCAGATTCCTCTTCATCTTCAGATTCTTCGGCCGCTTTTCGCGAGTTTCGCTTCCTTTTAGTCATCGAATCCTCTTCAGAGACCTCTTCATCCTCTTCGTCGTCGTCATCGCGCGCTCTCTTTTTGGCCCCTTTTGTCACACAAGACATCAATTTATCATTCATTTCAACACATTTTTACAACTATTGAAAACAAATCAATTCATACCTCGTTTAGCGGCCTCTCGTTTGGGTCTTCCGGGACCACCTTTTTTGGGACCCTTTTTTGCAGGCGCTTTGCGACCGCCTCTATAGTCATCATCGCTTTCCTCCTCTTCGGACTCGTCTTTCTTAGCCTTTCTGCGACCCTTAGGCTTCTCCTCCTCTTCTTCTTCGTCGTCGTCGTCGAGATCATCGATTTCGTCCTCCGATTCACTCATTTGCTTTCGCGGCGACTTTCGGGTCGGCTTTTGGCGCTTTTTCGCCGGCTTTTTAGGAGTCTTCTGTTCAACAAAATTGTTTACAAATCAATTGATATAAATTGCGGGCAAAAACACAAACCTTTTTCTTTTTCTTTCCCCAATCGCTGTCGGAATCACTTCCGGATTCGTTGTATTTCTTGCGAACCGTTCGACCGCCGCGTTTGTGTTCTGCCTCCCAATCGCTCTCCGAATCACTTCCGCGTCGTTTTCCGCGCTTTGGTTTGAATTCTTCTTCGGATTCACTCTCCCAGAGGTCTTCATCGCTGACCACATAGTCTCCAATGGAAACGACGGACTTATTCGCGGGTTTCGATTGCGATGTTCTTCGCGGACGACCCCTTCCAGTTGGCGCCGAATTCTTCCCCTTCTGGGGTTTGCGACCTTTGGGTGACTTGTGGTCATCACTGCCCGACTCTTCCTCATCGTCTTCATCCTCTTCCACGTCGTCCTTCCCTTCGTCTTCGGACTCGTCTTTCTTAGGCTTTTTGTTTGTCTGAGCCTTAGGTCTGCCCTGAGGTCTGCCTTTCTTTTTGGGCTCCTCTTTGTCTTTCTTGACGTCCAGTTCTTCCTCCTCTTCCTCTTCTTCCGATTCGTTATTCTTTTGCTTTTCTTTGTTATTATTTTCGTTGTCGTCATTCGGTTTGCTTTTCTTTTTGTCGACAACTTTCTTATCGTTTTTCTTGACATCAGAGGCAACGGAATCGTTGTCTTTGGTGTCGTCGTCTTCCTCTACTTTCTTCGACTCGGCCTTCGAGTCATTCTTCGAGGTCTCGCTCTCGCCGTTCACCGAATTGTCTTCGTGTTTGTCTTCGCTGGCCTTCGAGTCATTATTCTCTGTTTTGGCGGCTTTTGTGTCCGAATCGATAACCACTTGATATTTATAATTGTTGGCCAAAAGACTGAAGATATCGCCCGAAGACAACGTCTGAGTCATGTCTTTCTTAATGATTTTCGGTCCACTACTCGAGTCATTGGTGTAATAAAAGCATGGATTCACGTGTGCCTTAAGACATGAGAAGACAAAACACACATCCATTAGACATAGGGATAGACAACAAATCATTCATTTAATCAACTAATGGTATGTTTGGTGACAATTATCTCAACAAAGGGTAAGAGTGGATACGAACCGAAGTTAATAGGATTTCGCCGGCATTTGTCACTTCAATGAAGGCGTGATTTCGCGACACTTTCTTATCCGAGCACTAAATCAATGGTCAAAACAAAAGCAATCGTTAGTACAAGACATTGGCATTTAATCGTCGGTCAACTCGTTATCACTTGATCCATGTCTACAGCGCTGTCAATGGGATTAATGGCAAAAACACGAGACATAAACATTGAGCTCAAGAACAAAAGAGCCAATCATTGCCTTCATGTGAGACAATGAACTGAAGGCAATGAATGGGCGGACAGTGTCTGGAGTGAGGGTTTGCCGGGCGGTGACAGACGTGTGGATCAAGTGGTAAGCGATGACGTCATGTGTGGTACTTATGCTGCCATACATTGAGAAGTACTCCTCTGCCGAGTGTTGTCTTTCCGACCGTCAGTTCCACCTCTTTGTTGCTGTCGTCCAGTGATTTGAGAAGTGCTCGCATTTTGTCAGACAATTGGTGGTGAGTTTGGAGACAATAACGACGAGACAATTAGCGGTAAGTAATGGTAAGTCGTCCGTCAGTTCCACCTCTTTGTTGCTGTCGTCCAGTGATTTGAGAAGTGCTCGCATTTTGTCAGACAATTGGTGGTGAGTTTGGAGACAATAACGACGAGACAATTAGCGGTAAGTAATGGTAAGTCGCGTACAATCAGTGTATGTATGAAATGCCGCCACAAAACACATCCAACAGATCCACCATTTTTTCAGTCAATTGTCTGTCAATAAGTGATTGCTTTGAATGACAACAGACGGCACACAACGCCAACTCAAACACCACTTCAACTACAGTTCAGTCAAAGCAATACAACTCTATATTACAGTTAACTTTAATTTTGTTTTAATTACTGAATATTAAATACATTCAAATTAAATGCAAAATTAGTTAACATTAATGTTTTTTATTGTTTTTTCTATACATTAGTGTTATTTTTCGAAACTTAAAGAGTGTTATGAATTGCAAATTCTTGTACACAATATTACGTTAATGTAATATACAATTAGGTAGAAATGATGATTGACGATGGTACTTTTAAGAGTTTATGTGATCATTGTTTGCCACAAATCACTCATTTTATAACTTATTATCATTTAATAACTAATATATGTTAACATTTTGTTAATTACAAAATTATTTAATCTGTTTTAGTCATGTTTTGTTCATTAAATTACAATAACATAAGTATAACTAGTGTTCCCAGAAGCTCCCGGAATTTCAGGTCTCCAGCAATTTATATACTGTATTAATAGTTTAAATTATTATTTTTGCTTTAAAAACGTATCAAGGACAAACTCGAGCAATTTTAAATAAAATTTTAAGGAATCTCAAGGAAAATATTACTTAAGGAAATTGAAATATTGATCTGGGAACACTACAAATAAGTACAACACATAATCACATAATATATAGTTTTACTAAATTAGATTCAATGAGAAGAATAAGTGATTGATAATTGATTAAAATGGTTGATCACATCTTTCATCTCTTGGTTCACATCTTTGGCCGCTTTAGATGTCTTGCCGTGACTTACAATAGTTCTGAG